CAAATTAGGCAAAATTTAAGGGATTTAAAATGTAACCTCCCAAGTAGCCAATTTTGTATTTTTAAAATTAATTAATATTGAGGTGAGATACAAAAAGATATATTAGTAAATTGGGTGATGTGTACCATCCTAAATGAGGTTGTTTCATGACAAAAGTGTAAATTTTATACCATTCAATCTTTTCATGTAATTATAGTTTCTAAATAAACTATCAATATACTGATCCCATTTTTAAATGTTGACGTTGATGTTGATAAAAATGTTGACATCTCAATTTTAGAGAAATGTTGATGGAAATATTGATGTCCATATATTTATGAATAAAAAAATTCATAACAAATAAATAATTGATTATGTATATATTAGTAATATTTTGTTGATTCGATACGAAATGTCGATTCACCTCTCATATCAATGTCGAACCTATTGGCATGTAAATTTGTCGCTGAAAATATCGATATGTCGATAGAAATTTAATACCCCGCATATTTGAATACTCACTTTCTCCCTCTTTAGGAATATATTTAGTAAACTAATAGTGGTTGGCAACTAAATATTTAGTATAATCTAAAATAATATTAATTAATTTATTAATTTTTGTTATAAATTTTGTATAATTATTATTTTACAATATTATATCTTTTATAATTATATTATATTTTAAATATTTAAATTTTAACAAAAATAAAATAGGTTTATAACATGAAATATTATATTTATCAAAGTTTTTATCTTTTTTTTTTTAATAATTTTGCATTTAAACTTTCAAGTTAAATATCTGAAAACACTAAAAAAATATAAACGTTGTTTCAAGAGTTTCTCTTCCTCTTTTATTTACTTGTGCTTAATGTTTTTTGATTATACTATAGATGTAATGCATGAAATAAATATATGAACGTAAGAATAAAGAGACTTTGATACTCAAATTTGAATTTGCAACAACTACAAATGAAATACAAAGCAATAGGAAAATTCTATTTAGACTGATGGAGTTTTGTAGAGAATAGCTCTATCAAAACAAAAGTTAGTAAATTTCTACCATTATTATGATATTCCAATCTGATTGGGTACTATAAATAGAGCGGGGATTTGATCCGCAGAAGCAATATAGAATTTATTTGTATTTTTTTAACGACATGGAACTTTTTCGTGGATTCTACGGTTCAAAAATAAAATTACAAAAATTTCCTATAGACACATCTTATAGAGATAAGATACCCTATTTAGATAATAGTAATCATTTATGTTCTCGGATTTCACAATTTCTACTATTTAGATCACAGAATCGAAAGAAATTTTAAAAAATAAATCTACCAAACGTGGCTATATGTAGGTATCTATCTATCTATATATATATATATATATATATATATATTATTTATTTTCTTTTTACTCCAAAGACATATTTACTTAATCTATTTGAAAATAATAAAACAAAATTCGAAGAGCCAATCAAACATGCCCTAAATTTCTTCACTCATTAAATTGGTATCCACGTGATCACCACTAGGGATGTCCAGAAACGAAGGAACCAAATGGAATCGAGCCAAACGGGCTAGTTCGGTCTTTCTTCAAAAAAAAAAAAAAAAGAAAAAGAAAGAAAATTTACAATTCTGATCTAGATTGATCTTTGGTTCAGATAAAAATAAAATGTCGAATTCATGAACATATAAAAATATCGATGAAACTATTGACATGTTGATCGAAATTTAATATCCCTGCACACGCGTATATATGATAACTTCAAAATAATTGTAGCATAATTCTCAGGAGAGACCACCAATTCTTTTATGTATATTAAGATTAATAAAATATATAAAAATTGGCCAAAGGAACACCTTTATTTGTCTTTTATATTGATTTCATCTAAGATATTCCTTAGCTTATGTCGATTAGCAAGTGGGAAATTTATTAGAGAATTAATTAAGAGTACACTAATACCAATTAATTAATACAATTATTTTTCTCTCTCTATGATAAAGAAATTTGTTGGACAATTGTGTTTGTCATCATCAAATATATCGAAAATTGCCGTTTATTACTAAGCTTTATATCTATGACTAATTCCATAATGTTCTTTATGTTCTAATTCTTGTCTCATTTGCTGTTTTTTAATTTCTAATACCTTTGCTGATTGTTGCTCCCCTTTTAGCTAGTGGCAACTAATACAGTGTGTAAGAAAAATTTATATAAAAAAAAAAAACTCGATAATCCAAAAATTCGACCGACGTTTGAGATTTTGATAATGTGAAGACGATAAAAATGATTATGGAAAAATTTTATCTATTTTAATGAGGTCTGTTCGTAGAATCCGGTTAACGAAAGACTTTTGAGATTGAGTTTTTTAAGAAGTAAATTTAAATTTCACCATCCTTTTTCGTGTTTATACAATTGAAATATATCGAACACTAATTTACTTCGGATCGTAGGTGACAGAATTATTATTTTAATAGTCACGGCCAACCTCAAAGTAACCCTAGATTAGAATAAGTTTAATTAAATTCAGATGAATTTAAATAAATTGAATCGTTATGAATGGTCTATCAATTCATAGATTTGTTTAATTAAAATTAATTTGAGTTCACCCGAATCAATCTAAATTTTATTATTAATTAAAAAGTATCCATTTTATTTAGGATGAAATTACAGATGCATAATGCATGTATATATTTTAATTTTATTGCATTCAATTATTTTAAAAGATTATTTTACTTTCCAATCGTAATTTCTTAAAACTATTTCTCTCTCTCTCTCTTTTTGGAAAGGATAATTTCTTTAAACTATTTCGAATATGATTTTAAGTAAAAATAAACTTTGACATTCCACAACTTTTTTTTTTTTTTTGTGAAAATAAGTAAATAGAAACTTCTATTTTAATTTTTTAAATGAAAATTTGAATGACACATCAACCATGTGCCGTAATGAAACCAATCCAAATATTTCTCAATTAAGTTGGATTGGGACTAATTTATAAACCTACTAAATTTAGTTAATCATCAAAATGTCTATTAATAGCCATCTAAAAATTTTCAAATTATTTTTTATTAAGTTAAATGGAATACAAAATCTAGTATATCAAATAGCAATATACGAAATAGGTTTTTTGAGATACTAAATACATCGTAGAATATAAAATTCTAGAAATCAAATTTAGAAAATTGAACATCTTTTTAGTTGTAAATGCATATTGACATATTTTTGGGAAGGTCCACTCTCAAAATTCATAATAACAAAAATATAAAATACCTTGAATAATACCATAAAAATTAAAAATACAAGAGGATATATAAATTCTTGAATTGCTCGGTAATTACCTTTCTTGAAATTGAAATTTTTATTCCACACCTTATATTTATTGAACTTAAAAAAAATTTAGGTACATGATTTCATTTGTACCGCATCATTATTATTAAAATTGTTATACTTATAGGCAAAAAATCTCAAATGTTTTTCTGCAACCACATGGATAATTAGTTCAAAGAAAAAGTAATCCAAATGTAATAATATATGAATCTATATATATATATATATGTGATTAAAAAAAAGGAGTAGCTACACAATAGACATTGGTGTATTTCTAATATCCAATAAAACACTAGTTTGGTGAATGCTTTTAAAATATGAAAAATTCACCTTTTTTTCAAATTTAGCCATAAATTTAAATAAGTGATAAAAAAAATCAATACCCTTAATTAATAGATTAATCTCAAAAAAAAAAAAAAAATTGAGTTCATCGAGTGGACAATCGAACCAATCTTTGAGATGGTATTTAGTGCCGTATCAATTTTCCTTGAAGATGATTTATTGATTTGGTTTACAAATTATTTGATATTTAGTTTTGAGAAGGGTATTAAATATTTCACATTATTATTACCTCATTCAAATTTAAAGTTGAATAGAATAGAATGAAATTAAAAGTTCAAAATTAATATTGACTCGCTCAAAATTTTTGCCTAATAAATAAGGCCAAAGCAAACACCAACAACAGCATCCAACGTTTGACAAGTTTTATTTACATCTTCCCTTTGTTTCATGGGATCAGAAATGAAGGAGAAATTCTCTCCTTTTTGTCTTCCTCTTACCAAAACACATCCCTTGTTTTGTGTTTTGAGCTGAAAAAAAAACCAAGTTCCTTAAATTTAGTGTGTGGGGAACACCAAAAACAAAGAAATTAAGAAAAAAAGAGAGAAATAAATCAGACAAAACATAATTATTCTTGATCTCTCTTTTGTTTGTTTGTTTTGTTTTTATTTATGGGAATCTCAAACATTACAGGTGAAAAAGAAGAACATCATGGGAACTTGTCTTCCGGAAACAGTGTGGAAGGAGAAGAACAAGAAGTTGAGCAAAACAAACACCATGATCAGCTCCTCAATCACTTCCTCTATGGCTCTCCCAATGGAGATGATGATCAAACCAACAGCCATATTGGCTCAACTTCTTCACTTCAACAACAAAGAGTTAAGAAGAAGCGGAATCTCCCCGGCACTCCAGGCAAATTCCGCTCACCCGCCCTTCTTCTTTGTCGTTGAGAGTAGTAGTATATGTCAAAACGATTAAGGTTTAATTAAGTTTATGTAGGAGGTTCGTTTGGTAACATTATTGTTTCTTGTTTTAATGACCCCATTGTAGATCCAAATGCTGAAGTGATTGCTTTATCACCCACAACCCTAATGGCGACAAATAGGTTTGTGTGTGAGATATGCAACAAGGGGTTTCAGAGGGATCAAAACCTTCAATTGCACAGGAGAGGGCACAACCTGCCGTGGAAACTCCGGCAAAGAACCAACGACGGGGAAGTGAAGAAACGGGTGTACGTGTGCCCCGAACCGACGTGTGTTCATCACAACCCGGCTCGAGCGCTCGGGGATCTTACGGGGATTAAGAAGCATTTTAGCAGAAAACATGGGGAGAAGAAATGGAAGTGTGAGAAATGCTCCAAGAAGTATGCAGTTCAGTCTGATTGGAAGGCTCATCAAAAGACTTGTGGCACTAGAGAGTACAAATGTGACTGTGGAACTCTCTTTTCCAGGTTAATTTTAAAACTCTCCCATGCATCTTATGCAAATTGAAAACATACCAGCATATTCTCGTAACGATTTTGTTTTTAGTTTTCTGTTTTAAAATTTTAGCTTAGATTTTGGGAATGATTTTCAAAAGTTAATAACGAGACAACTGAACAATACGTATGGATGAATATGCGGTTGTAAGCTTAATTTCAAAAATAAAATATATTATCAAATGGAATCTGAATTTTCTAGGTTAAACTTTCCTTTTTCTTTTACCTCTTTGAACTTATACCAATTGAATTTTAATCACTAGCTCTCTCACTTAATGCTAATTTTGTTAAAATGGTAGTGAAATTTTAGTTCAATAATTTTTACATTTATGTGTTTTATGCTCTCTGTGGTGACAAAAAGTCAAAATTATTTCAATACTTGAGATGTAAGAGCTATTTTAAAGACACTAAAGGTTGAAATTCTCCCACCTCTATCTTCTTGTCAAAAAAAGTATAGGACTGAATAATAGTAATTTCAATATATGATGGTCAATTTAAACGTGGTTTAACTGAGTTAAGGTATATATATATCCTCAATGAAAAGGTAAAAAGTTTGAATTCTCACCTTCACAAGTTCTTGAACTAAAAATAAATAAATTACTATCCACGACTTGCGATTTAAAAATTTTTTTTACTATCCACGATACCAAAAATTTTCAAAAGGTAGATTATAAAACAAGTAATAACCTAACAAACTCACTTTTTTTTTTTTTTACACCACAAACTCACTTCCTAGCAACCAAAACAACAAAAGCAAGAAAATAAATTAAATACGTATTTTCAAATATAGAAAAAAGTGGGTCGAGAAAAATAAATATATAAATACCTCATATATTTTCCTCATGTCATTTATTTATTTATTTTTACAGAAGGGACAGCTTCATCACACACAGGGCTTTCTGTGATGCATTAACAGAAGAAAACAACAAACTAAAACAAGGAGTAGTTGTCAACAGTACTATAGAACCAATCTCAGTCTCCATTCCTCCAAAACTCTCTCAATTTGGCAAATCAATGATGCCTGAATTCAACCTCTACGACCACAAAAATCCTCTCAAATCCCTCCCTTGGCAACTCGACAACTCAAACCCGTTCCCCGCCCCGGTCGCCGCTACTGCCTCGGGAGGCTTGTTCATGGCTGGACCCGGAAGCAGCAACTCCTCCTCTTTCTCAAGCCTTCAGCTCAGTTCCGCTGCCGCTTCTCGTTTCAGCTACCTTCATGACAGCAAAAATAGCTGCTTTCAGGTAAGCCGAAGCAAAGTGGAAGGAAGGAGAGGAAGAGAATTGCACCCTTAGTTTGTTTTTAGATTAGAAAAAGTTATGAGTTTTGATCTTTAGGATTTTATCTATTTAGTTTTTAAGCTTTAAAAAGTTTTTAATAAGTCTAATTAACTTTCGAGGTTGTATATGTTAATTTGATGGTATCTTAAAAAGTTTTTAAGAGGTCCCCTGACAACTCTACTTGATTTTTTAACTTATTAGTCGAGTTGAGGGGTATACTTAAAACCTTTTAAGATATAAAAATTAAATAAGTAAAATCCTAAAAGTTCAAGCGAACCATACTTAATACTTTCATAGGTATAAAGTTGGAATATAAGAGTTTGATCTTCATTATCAAAGTTTCTAGATTTGCTCTTTCCTTCAGGTTTCTGGGTCGGGCACGGCAGCGCTTGTAACATCAGCCACCGCCTTGTTGCAGAAAGCTGCACAGATCGGTGCCACTGCAAGCTCCATAGGTGGTTTGAACTCACCATTGGAAGTGCAACATTCTGATCAACAAGACATGGTAGGGATCGATATGGGAATGTATGGACATATGATGACGACGAAAGAACAAGATAATTGTAGTAGTAGCAACTCGAGCTTTCTCGTCCATGAAAAGGGTCAGTGGTCGGTATCGAGGTTCTCCGATGGTGACGTCAGTGGCGAGAGTCCCATGATGACTCTGGATTTGTTGGGAGAAGGAGGGTGGAGGTTGAGACAGTTGCAGGAAGATCAAAATCGCCACCACCACCGTCAGACCATGCCGATTATGAAGCATTTTGAGCTACAAAACTTTGATCATGGAGATCCAAATGTTGACAAATCCATATTTGAGTTCTAAGTGAGAGTATTTCAGGTATATGAAGAGCTAAGTTTGGATACAAAGAAAGCTTAGATTTTGTTCTTGAGTTCCACCTTTTTAGTTTCCTATGTTAGTTTTTAGGTTTTGGTAGGTGAACTCGTTTTAGTTTTGTTTTAGATAAGAGACACATGTGTACTTAATTTATCTATCTACCTTCTCTTTGCTTCAATAATTACGAGATAGGGTTAAACCCGTCAACCTTTGAGAAAATAATAGATTTTAGATTGGCACTCATCTACATACTTAATACCACATTTTTGCACATGATTGAAACTCAAATTTTCAACTTATTCTCGAATGGGTGGAGTTTTTATATGTCTTAGCAAAACTATTGCTTTGCAATTATTAGAAGATAGACGATTGTTTGGCTATCTAACTAGGCTGTTTTATCTAGAGCCAAAGTCATATATGAAAACATCTAACGTTGATATTTCAGATTTCCTTTTTATTAAACATTTAATAGTTATGAGAGAAAGAACCACAATGTAAATTGAATAAGTTTTCAATCGAGAGAAATGGAGTGTGATACTTGAAGGATGGCGGAAGGTTTTGGAGCAGCTGGGAGGAAGATTTAAAAATTCTCAAATACTAATGAGTATCTATTCCTACCTTATATATTTTTTTGAATAGAGAAAGAAAAGAGAATATATTTTTTTTCTTTTTTTAATAGAAAATAAATACTCGTAAGCTTTTTAGTCCAATATATACCTATGTATTATTCAAAATTAAAAAGGACAATAATTGATGGAGGGAAGGAAGTAACTTTTGGAGGGAAATTATCTAGAGAGAGTCTTCTTATTAAAAATAAAATAAAATAAAAATATATAGAGAGAGAGAGATTGGGCCTTGTAAAAGTTAGGTTGAGGCCCAAACATCCAAAACGCACCGTTTCGAATCCGACTCGAAAACCCTAACCCTAAACCTTCACTATAAATACACCTTAATACCTCATATTATATCGTCAGCACGAGGTCTCTCTTCTTCTTCTTCTTCTCCTCTTTCTCTCTGAATTATAGCATTTTTTTTCGCAGTTAGGGTTTTTTGAGTTTTCGAGTTTTTGAGATTTGGAGGCAATGATGTCGAAATCTACCTATTTTCTGAAGGAAGTTCATCTTTCCGTGATTATGAAATCACCAATTGATCCTTCTGAGCCCTAAACTCTCTTTAACTTTTTTTCAGAAATTTATGAATGCTCATAGTTAACCATTTTCGTCGTGCGTTTAGCCAAAGGAGTTATTGAGGTGATGATCCTCTTTTCTGAATCTATGCTTGTTGACTTCAAAATTCAGACTACAATTATCTGATCAATGGCTCCATAAATATCCGTTATCCTTTTTCTCATCTGAAAGTTCCGTGGAATTTCTTGTTTGCCACATGTTCTTGAAAAGAGTGGAATCTGATTTCTGGTTTAATTGTTTTTTTTCAGAATTTCCTAAACTCTGTATTTATCTGTCATTGTTTCCGAATTTCTGATTATCAGAAAGAGTTTCAATTTGTTAAATCTGATTTCCTGTGAAATTAACTTCTTCACGTTTTAATATTGTCAAATGATTTCTTCAAAGATCTTCTCGTTCTTATTTTATTAACACTAATTAATTTAAATTATTCAAAATATTTAAATAAAATTTACAATTAATAAAACAATACTAAAATTTTACCTAAATTATAATAAATATGTATGTATTAAATTTTTATAGTAATAAATTAATAGGTTGAAAATGATTAATTTTTTTAAATACATTTCTTTTAAAAAATATTAAGATGTATGGTTTAATAAAATCAACTATTTGGATCCATTATTTATAACATATTTACTATTAAAACATAATTACTTAATGATTTTAATATTTTAACTTTATACATGTAAATTAATGAATTATTGAAAGTTAATTTTGATTAATTTTAAAATTTTATACGCAGATATAACATCATCTAAAAGTGAATTTTAAAAACCTGCGTTAGTGACAAATGTTGGTAGTCTTTGAGAATCTTTTAAAACTATTTTCTAAAAGATAATTATCAAAATTGAGAATTTTTGAAATTCTGTAATCAAATAGAAACTTATTGAATTTACCAAATATTTTCTTTACATTTTTATTAAATTTGATTAGTTGTTAATCAAATATTTACCATAACATAAAATTTTGAGCTACTTTTTGAGACCTTCAACCAAACTCTCTTTCTCATAGGAGAGATTCCAAGAAAAAATCTATAGGTAATGGGGTCAAATGATGTCACCCCCAATAAAAATTTAGCTATGAAACATGAGAAGTCTAATAAAAAGTCGCATTTTAAAATTTTGCCTGGTGGCTTAGCTGTGGAATTCTATGCCCCAAACGCAGCTGAATGCTAACATGAACTATGTTTGAGGCTGCCTTCAGGATCTGCATCTCTGCTACTCTTGCTACTTCCATTGCATTTCTGAGGACACAACACAACACAACACGTTTGCTTGGAGAATCAACAACGACAGACCAAACTAAGCAGTTTAAGGTTTGTCGGGTTTGAGAGTTTTACCGAACTAGCAAGTCGGGAGGCATGGAGACCTCGATTTCTAGCAGAATCTTGCCTTGCAACAAGTGGGGTGTAATGCGTTCAACAACCATTTTCTGAAACACGTTCAAAGAGAAATATGCTAATCAGTCAAATGAACAAAAGTTTCAGCTCAGAACGTTTACGGAATTCACCTCAGGAAATTGTGACTGGATGATTCTGGAAATCATGGATTCAATTTTCTTCTCGTTCAGCAGGGTATCTGTACTCTGATTTAAAGTTCCGATCGAGCCTTCTTGCCAGTCCGATAAACTGTGTTGGAAATGTGAAATTGAGGGATCTACAGGTGATCATTATTAGTGATGAGGAAAAAGGAAACGTTCCGATTCTGGAAATCGTTCAACTAGAACATGTGTGATGATCTGCAAGGAAAATGAACTGAGCAATGTACCTATATGTATAAAAACTTCAGATACTTCAGGATGTGATGTGTGAATCTTTCGACGAGCATTTTCACCTATACAATGAGCAGCACTGACACTCAGAAAAGGATCAACCTGCAAGCAAAAGCAAAGTATAAAACCGATGTCCATCAACCACATTTAGTAGTGAAATACTTGTAATTCAATCAGAGGTCGAACCTCAATATGCACATCGAGATACAAAGAAGAACCAGCTCTCCTTCCTCTAAGGCGATGGCAGCCCTAAAGATGGTTTTTCGACATCAGCAGGATCACAGAGACTTGTTTTCATAATGAACAAGACAGGAAAGCATGGAAATGGAGGCCAACACCATAAACTTTCAACTCCCCTCTCCCAATAACCAGACACCCAGAAGTCAAAATTCTATTTTACACATCATCTTTAAAGTTAACAGATAACACAAAACTTATAATAATTACCATGACACCCTCAACTTGCAGTATTGTTCGTCTGACAGGCTCTATCTGATCTGCTGGAATTGCAGCATCCACTAATTCCAAGATGCTAAAATTTATTACGAAGAACATTAGAAATATAGAAACCAAGAAAACGATTATGCATAAATTCTCTTCAACTAGTAACTGAAACAGTGGATTGAAGTTTATGGACAATAATAAATTCTGGAAACAAATTCATTATCCCACTGCAGTTTTACTTGGAACTATTCAATGTTTTGTTACAGTCATATTATTAGACATCACATTAGCAATTCCTAAAAAAAATAATCAATGTGATGCAGATCTGAAATAAAAATGAAAATTGAGTATTGTTTTCGTGACCCGTGTTTCTGACTAAAATGTATTACACACCTTTGGTGTCCACTTCCAAGTCCAGCCTTCAGAATCATGCCCGAGACAACGAGTCCAGCTAAGGGATCTAGAAACTTCACCCCGAGAATAGAACCTCCTGAAATAAAAATCATTGATCCCTGCCAGAGGAGCTGGAAGTATGCAGACTAGACTACTAGATAGCTTAATGCTGACTACAAGGACCAGAGTTCCTCACCAACGCCAATGAGCGCAACTACTGATGATATAGCATCAGCCCGATGATGCCATGCATTTGCTTTCATGAGTCCGCTACCTTGTTTTTCCCCAGCTCGCTTTGTTATCCAATAAAGCCTATCAGGGGTCAAGACGAGAACCAATTATCATAGTGTGGCAGCAAACTGCCAAAATAATGACCATTCTATTGTCTAGTTAAGGATGCAAGACATTAGCATATTTTCAAAGTTCGGCTGAATGGGAAGCATTATGACTATCAAAAGTACAAGATTGGATACAGCACTCATCTAAGATGCTTACTAATTAACTTGAGGTTTTCTAAACTATAAACTAATAAGGTAGCATAACAGGGAAACATGGTCAATGAACGAGCATTTCAAAGTGCTCCAGTTCTTAACAGAGTGAAACACGGGCAAGTACCCTTACCCTTCTTTGATAGATATTGATACAAGAGTCATATTCAAGGCTAGAATAGGATGGTCCATGTCGATCCCGTGATGATGTCCACCATGGCTATGGTTATGCAAATCATCATGTCCCAACGGCTGATTAACTATTTCAGGAGCAGCTGACAGCAAGCCCTGCTTACAAGGAAAAAAAGGAGGCTTAGTTGGCTACGACACGAAATTCGGATCCAAAACTTTTACCATGTAAACAAAATTTCCACAAGTTACAATGTGAAATTCCTCAAATCCTAATAACACCAGGATTATGTGAAAATGGAAGAGGGATTAGATTCTGAAGATTCAGATAACATCTGTATTACTCTGAGTTCAATTAGGAGCAAAATGGATAATCAAGCATACCAGTAAAAGTTCTGAAGCATGCCAAGCAATGCCACCAGCAGTTGCTAAAAGCATGCAAGAGATTCCAAGGGCTCCCAGAGTCTCAAATTTACCATGTCCTGAGAATATATGGCAGAGAAGGAGTTGTAAAATAATAGTATTTCAAAGCGAGAGAAAGCACGACATTAGCATCTCAGACAAACAATATCATTTTGACAATGTTATTTTTAACTGGAAATGCAGAGTAGGAGTAAAACCATCCTGAACACCTAGCTTTTTAGGTATACCAAGTATATACTAGATGGTAAGGAAATTCCCTGTATTAACTATTAACAACTAAATCTGTTTAAAATATGAGTTCGATCAGGATTGAACACAATACGAATCATTAAAAAGTCCACTCTCATGATTCATATGTTTTATAAACCCAAGAATCAGAAATATTTCAATATGAAGATAGTAGTAAACACACGCAAATGATTTTCTAAATGTCATATAAAAGCGCATCATTCTCCTTGGTTCAAATTTAAAGTGCTGAGCCTCATAAGTCTTACAATTGAAATGAACATAAACCCAAAGGATAGTTTAAAGAGATAGTTTAACATTTGTTGTCAATGGTCATATTTTTCTCACGGATTTGTAAACTAGATGTATAATCAACATGAGTTGATAACTTAAAGAAAAAAAAATGTTTTTCTACATGATACAAAACCATTAAGCTGAGAATTCATAATATAGGGAGAGAAAAATGGAGTAGCATGTAGGTACAAATCAAGAGTGACCATATGGGTGCTCCTTGTCTTTAGGAGCTTTTGCAGCTTTAAACGACCATAAAGCGATGCCACTAAGAACCTGTAGCGTACAAGAATAAGGCAAGTAATTGTCAAATATCGTTGGATTCAAGAAAAAATTAGGAAACCAAACACAATAAGTAGAAAAACAAAAGGCACAATCTATTCAATTCATCTTTAGAATGAGCAGAATTTCAAATGTTGTTAAAAGCTGAACTCGATTGAGGGATCAGGGCAGCAGCTTCAAGAACTCAACCAAGAAGACAACTTAAGAAATCAAAAGTTTCAGATAAAAATTACCACATCAGACACTGAATGAGCCGCATCGGCGATGATGGCTGTGCTTCCTGACAAATAACCCGTCACAGCCTTCCCCGCAGCCAAGGCAATGTCAGCGCCGAGACCCAGCTTGAATATACTCTCGCCCTCTTCGCCGAATCGATGGTGGTCGTCGTGGCGGTGGGCGTGGCCCAAATGCCACCGTCTGGAGATTCTGTTCTTCGGATCGTCGTAGATTCCCAATAGTGAGTTCTGGGGTTGAAGATTGAGGGATTGGATTGGCGGAATTGAATGAAATTCCTGGTGGGTTGCGGAGGAAAGCCTGGTGTAGAAGGATTGAAGTATTGGGTTGAGACGGTAGAATCTGTACCTCATTTTAATGGAGTTTGATGGGGAAGTGGTGGATTTTTTGATTAACAGAAACTAAGAGATTTATGAAGTTTGGTGTTTGATTTCTGAATCGCGAGAGTTGAAGGTGAAGAGAGAACAAACACTGCGTAGAACGGCAATGAAGCACCGATTCTGTACAAAATTAAAGATTCCCCAGTTGAGATTTGAGAACCTTCTCCCTGCACCGATCATGCAGTTTTTTTTTCTTTTTTTTTTTAATTTGGAAAAAGATGTTTTTAACCTTAATTCAGGTGTATTAATTTTAATAATACTCAGTTTTCACTCCATTAAATATTAGAAAATGTTTACCCAATCAAGTATATCTCAATGATGATTGACATGTATCTTCAACCAAAAGTTCGTAAATTCGATCTCCATTACATGTTATACTCAAATATATATTAGAACATGTGGTAATTACCGCTAAGCTAAACTCATGAATTTCAACAATGGTCCTAAGGATTAAAAATTAACATAACTCAGATTAAAACATCTATATTTGACATGAATTCGAATGAAAAGTTTATACATTACATTGAATGTTTAGGAAGACGACTATTCTTTGAAGTTTCAAGTTTTTAACAAAAACCCCCAATTTATTGTTATGGTTAGAAATAAAGGCAAGGCCACTGCGAAGTACAAACTCAAAATGACTCAGTGGCTCTCAACCAGCAGAAGGTAATATGATATGAAAATTATGCCCAAAGTAATTGGATCGAAAATGGGAAAATCACCTCAGCTCAGCACTCATTTTGAAGACAGAATAACACTAACAATAATTGATATAAAAATTTAAAAAGAAAAAATGAGAATCCTCCCCCCTACAAACCCAAGCTCCTCAAACTAAATTTTACAGGTCAAAAGCCAAAGCCCTCCCACCCCACAAAAAGAAACAAGAAACAGAAGAAGAAGAAGATGGATACTCCTGGTAGCAAGGAAGCCGCTGTGAAATTGTGTTATTTTTCACCTTTGGGGGAGCCTTGGAAGTATAAAACTTGCAATACAGAACACCAATCTCAACCCATTCTCACAGAGGGAGCCACATTTTCCAATGATTTTGAATCCATTTGTGAGTTCTTCGTCTTACTGAAACAATTTCACAATTTGTTTGTTTGTTTGTTTCTATCAATATTGCCGATCACGCCACCTTCTGCTGCTGTTGTTTCCTCCATGTCTGTTTTGCTCTCTATATCCATAAGGACTCCTCTGGCTCTGGCTGTGTCTGTGCTGCTCAGCAGGCCCATAGCTTCGTCCAGAGTTTATTCTGGGCTCTGAGAAGCTTTTATCTGGCCTGCTGTACTCCTGTGGCTGTGGCTGTGGCCTTACTGGACTGTTCTCTGGACTCCATGATTCAAATTCATTTCTCCCCCATGAAGGACCTCCAACCAATTTTCTCTCATTGTTTTGGTGGGAACCCGTATCCTGCTGCCTTGGTCTCCAGGAACCTAAGCTTGGGGCGGATTTTTCGATATTTACTCGAGTTTGATGCAGATGCTCTGATTGAAATGGCTGTAATTGCTGTAGTTGTGACTGCCTTTGCTGCTGCATCGGATTCAGCAGCATTCGTGTAGGGGTCGGGGAAGGAGGCGATTGGAATGGGATTGATATTACTCTTTCTGGTGTGTTGGATGAAAAAGATACAGGTTTTGCAACATTCCCACCTTCAATCCGCACTGAAGAGGGAGCTGCTACTGTAGATTGATTAGCCAAGGGTATGTTGGTGATGGGAAAGCTCCTCAATGCGGAGGCTGTTTCCGAGTTGAGTAATTGAACGCCGGGGAAGTTTGCAACAATGCCCTGGTGGTGAGAGTGAACGAGGTGATGGGGTTGGAGCCCGTCGATCGGAGTTTGAGGAAGTGAAAGTTGAGGAACTGATGAAGGAAGCTGATGGGACAATGGTGGCATAGCTGCGAGCTGTTGGTTTGCTGGAATTCGCGACACTGCAATGCTTGAAGTATCGACGGGCGGGGAAGCAAGCGCACCTCTGCTGCTTTCTGAAATGGAATCTCGCTGTGAAAAAGGATTCTTGAACACTGCTGGTTTCCATCCACTCTGTAAGTTTAAGGGAGAAAAAACCATCATCAGCAAATACACAATTTCCAAATAATTTTTACTATGTTCACATTCGCAATGTTTAATATGTTAATGGAGGAAATCACTGCTGTGGAGTGGGAAACTCAGAAGGAAGTTTCTCAAAAGTTTAATCGTGTGGTACCCAATTTATCATGAAAATAAGAGGTGGAGAAAGACCCAACAACTAATATTGATGTGACTCGCAGCCATATACGCACAGGGGAGGAGTTGAAATTTATACTGGACCAGAAAACTATAAATAAACAAAAGAGGTGCTATTTGCTCCCCAAATTTGATTTGATGAAACGGAGAATAATCTGGTTAAGCACAAAATATAAGCAACATTTTTGCATGTACTTGTGCGACAGCAGCAAAATGAGCCTAAGTCACGCACCGTTCCAGCATTGCTTGAAGGAGTTGGAGATGGAAGAGAGACTTCAACTTTCTCCCCCGTCTTCTCCATCCTGTTTACGCCAACACCTACGCTGCTGCCGCCGCCCATATTAGCTGCCCCACCTGCTTTGATCATATCCAACAGTTTTACTGTATCCTCTGCAGGCAAATTACCAGCTTGGCCAGAAGTGAGGGCATAAACTAAATCCGGGTTTTTCAGGAGTACAGCAAGCAACTCAAGATCTGGTTCAGCTGCAGTTGGCTTCAGATCTTGAGATGAAGTCATTTCTGATGGAACAGCAGTGTCAACTGCATGGTTACGAACCTCTGTTTCTGAAGTCTCATTATCAGGCAATTGCTCAGTCAGAATTTCAGGAGTCAAAGAGTCGTCATAGTCCATCTCCAGGTCCCATGGCTCCTTGGGATTTGATGGTATGTCATGGATGGTCTGGTACAAAGTCTCCTTCTCTCTAGAGTTCCTATTTTTTTGGAATCCAGCTTCTTTACTGTTCTCGCCAGCACCAACGCTCCAAAGATCATTCAGTTTCATTTCTGCATATAGAAATAAATAAGGCTATCTGTGAAATTATAGGCAGGATAGATATAAAGCCAAAGGAAAACTAGAAACTTCCCATTGATTGCAATCACAACAAAACCGGTAAATTGAAATCTCTTCAAATAACACAATTCAGTTGATTCGCTTTAACTTTTTCACTAAACAGCTAAAAGAGTGGTTCATTTCATTGATGGTTTGTTAACTGACAGAATGCTCTTCTGCAGATAAAACAGCCGTCACTCAGATTTAATGTCAATATGTTTCGCATCTGTAACTGCTGTTGGAGTTCAACAGCAGCAACATTGTGTGTGAGTTGAGGCCACTTCACAGGTTTCGCCGTATGAGTTTTAGCTTTTGACAGAGTCAAAACCACAACTCTATTTTGGAATTCTTCTCGCTTCTTTGACTGCTCAATTCATTCGGTTTGGTCCCACTTTGAATAGGATACACATATACACCTCAGATCCACATAAGACAGTTCAAAATGAAGTACAAGCTATGCTTCAATCACACTACATTTCAAGTTTAAGGAAGGAAACTAAAGCAGTCGATTATGAACACAGTTCTCTGTAACAAGAAAATATGATTGCTTTATTCCAAATTTTCATTATTGTTATTTTCCTTTGAGATTAATCAGCTGATTGTTGAAGATGCCATGGCCAAGATCTAGGGAAACAAGTGCCGTTAAAGATTGATTTTCAAGACTTCCATCAACGTGTAACAGAATTTTACTGGACCACCATAGCTAGTAGATTTGGCTACAATATACCTTCAATCCAACACAAACAAAACCCCAACACCAACCAAACTTGCAGTACTAAATCTGTGCCTGTTACAGAGAAGCATTTAGACCATTGTACTCAAAGGCCTGAAACATTTAGACAAGTCACAGCTAAGAGATCTCATAAGATGAGATCCTGATCTACTTGATAAAAGTGATGGGCATGTATATTTATTCGCCACTCTACCATCAAAACAATAAAGCAGCCCTTTTTTCCCTTTTGCCATCTCCTTTAGGTCGTTCTTTGTAACAAAAGAAGAAAAATTGTAGACTCTCAAAAAATTAAATGAATAAATAAACTTTCCATCACAGAAAAAACTAGTTACAATGTTCTGCAGTCAAGGACCAGCAGCAGCAGTGTTCTCAAACACAAAATAAGGAAGATATGTCCAAAATGCTACATTAACTTTTGTATTGAAACAGTTCTCCAGAACCAAATGCTACCAACTCAAAACAGATAAATAGAGAGTCAGCTCTTTCAAGAAGTCTTTGCAATAGCTTTTCTTTATTAAGATTTCGACCACCGTATTGGAAATCTGGTCTGCCCATTTGAAAGCCGTTCAAAGAAAGGTGCAAGTGCAAGTATATCAAGTGAGGGTAGAGTGACTTGTGTAAACGCCCTTATATAATTTCAGCCAGGAACAAAAAAAGGAACCAAAATGAAAATCTGCATGCATTATAATTGGTTTTTTATTTCCTTTTCGTACCATTAGCTAGCATCTGTCATCTAAATCTTACAGAATGAAGAACGTGATGTCACATGTCTATTAGTTCAATTCATACGTGTATGACTGATGGATATCCCCCTGGACAGGTAATCAAATAGCAAATTTTTTAACTTGAACGAAAACTTCAAAACAGATTGGCACCAAAAAGAAACGTCCGTAATACATGGGTCTAAAAATTCAAATAAAAAGTGCAAAATACAGAATCTATATCCAATTTATAGGAAACAGTGAAGCCTTCTTTAATTTAAACGTACTAATAGTATATAGGAAAAGGTAATGAGGCCTTTCTCTTCCATCGATCAAGGATAAGTATTTCCTGGGAAATTATTTGGGAGTTATTTATAAAATGTATATTTGAATAAATTGCCTCCAGCATACCCTTATCTATTTCCAGAAAATGATATTCCATCGTGTTCCATATCATATTGTGTTCATGGACACAGAAATTACATCAACACATGCTATGGTTCGCTAAGATCCTATCATTGAAACAAGAATAATACTCCATTTAATCATAGAACTTAAATTTTTAGCATTATATACAACACTAAGTGATAAAAACTAATCATATGAAATTTATATTCTACATAATTATGCGGACGACTTCTTTTTTTAAAAAAGCAACAAATTAGGTGCCTCTACAAAAAAATTTGAAATCGTCTTAGGAAAGAATAAAACAGCTCCAAACAAAATTTTACACAGATGTAGATTGCAAAGAGACTGATTCGGAGTATAGCAATTTCTCCATAAGGCCCTAAGACTTTGTGCAGACTATCTATCTATGATTATTACCATATATATATACCCGCGAGAACAATTAGGTCACCTACTCGTCTGTGAACCTACAAGGAGGAACCCAGATAACTCCACAACGTAGGTACTTAGTATTTGTTTGAAATAATCTTCGACTTTCATTTATATCAAGGCGCTGAGATATGGAACATTATTCCTCTTGTACAAGAAGACATGGACAATATTAAAATAATACCTTTAATTTGCTCGAGTGTTGGGAGACTTGAAGTAGCCAATTTACCCATAAGTGAGAGAATAGGAGGCTCTAACTTCTATAAATTACTAGACTTTTTAGCTTGGGTATCCTCGTTTATTTTGTAGGACATTTGGATTTCATTGTCATCATTGTTAAGCAATGTCTGTTGAGTGTCGAGGAGGGAGTCATTTCAATAGGTGGATTTCTAAGATGGTTTTCAATGGTATTTACAGTAGCCCATGAAATTCTGTTTTCCAAAATTTGACTTTTCGTTAACTTCATAAAATTCTCAGTTGGGGTAGGAGCTTTGTGAATCTTTGGGACGGTCACTGAGTCAACATTCGTCTTTTCAATCTTTATGCCTTTGTCTCTTACATATACGATTACTTGTAGAGTGAGAAAATTGAAAAGCTTTAAAATTTGTTTAAAAAAAAGCCTTTTTTTAAGAAAAGAATATATATTGTAATGAACACATCCAAATCGTGTCTAGTTTTCTGGAAAACAGCGTGTTACAGTGTTTTATGTTGTGTTTATATACCGAGTCGACAGATGTACTTTCTTAATAAGTGGCATCTCCAACTTTTTTTGATTCAATCATGCTCCATGTCCCAACTATCGTTTGAAAACTAAATATATAGTATTAAAGGAAGTGTAGGGTGTTAAAGAAAATGAACCTGGTGGCATCCGCCATTGGATCTGGACCCTCTTACATTTCTCCCCCAGCGAATCCTTGAACTCCACTTCAACCTTCGAATGAAGCGGGGTTTCGACCTTATTACTGCTTTTTGGAGGGGGCACCAAAGCTTTTCTCTGGTCCTCTAATTTGAGACTTAGAGAGATTTTAGATGCTGGAGACGAGGCACCGGAAACTAAATGTAATGGTTTATTTACATTCTCAGACTTCACATCCGAACGTCCATTTGGCGAACCAGCCTTCCCATACTTGCTTTGCATGAATTGTGCTCGCATTTTTGCTTTCTGAATATCATCAGTAGACATTGGCCGACCTTGACTCGCAGGAGAAGCTCTTGGAGCCTGCGAGTTTCTGCCCGCAACTTTCTGTCCTGGCTGCTCTACCATCTGAACTTTTCTGCGTTCTCTGAATCCTATAACCAGCTAAGGAAATTAACTTTAAACTTTCCGTTTGCCAAAATGGCATCATCAATGCAAAAACATTATAAGTTAAGAAAGGAAATGTTCTGTATCGGTACATCCAGGATTCCTCTGGAAAAATAAAACAGCGCAAGTAAGAAAATTCAAGCACATGTAAAAATATAAAATGGAGGTAAAGTGATATTTCATTGAATTTGTCAAAAAAAATACAACAAAGGAAAACCCTAAAACAGAATTACTAAAAACCCATTAATGACCCACATGAGGGGAACATTACACCCCTTCATGTCTAAAACCAATCAATCACCCAGAAGAGGGTGGATTTCTGGAAACAAATTGAAGAAGAAGCTTTGAGGAAATTGGAGAAGTGGAAGAATTTCAATTTCTCAAATGGAGGACGCCTGGCTTTGGCCAATCCACCGATGCAGTAACTTCTATTCCCCCAACTGGCCAACTCATTAAATGTCTTTTATTCCTATTCCAAGGAAGATTGTGTTGAAACTTTAAAAGAAAGTCGAGGGACTTTACTCGGGTTGGAGGAAAAGAAGAAAATATTAGCCTTCTTAGTTAACTGGGGAGTGGTATCTTTGCCGTTCAGAAAAGGTGGCTTTGGAATTGGCAACTAGAAAAAGAGATTAAAAGATAAGTCTACAAAATAGTTCTTGAAAAAAACATCCAAACAGCCCTTTTATCTTTCTGTGGTTCTTTCAATTGAAATTTTACGCTACAGATATCATAACAATTTCAAGTGTCCTGGGTCTCTGATGAAGCGGCTAGAAGCAATATTTAACAGATACCGTATAGTCAAAGATTAAGGGAAAGACAGATTTTGCGGGTCAACACTATAAAAGCTATTGCTTGGGGACTTTTTTTTTTTAATTTGAAAAGAAACTATTTCATTGATAAGATGAAATAAGAATACAAAAGGGGGTCCCATGAGTGGGCTACAAAAAGGCTCTACCATTAGATAAGAGAGGCAAAACTATACTGTTGAAAAAGTGGGGAACATTTACACCAAGAGAGAACCCAAAAAAGGCTATAGATTCAAATAAATGATCGAATTTGGATGGAAATAAACTAGCAAATTTTCAAAAGAAAGCAACAGGGTTGGGAAGAAGGCTCTAGTTAGCTAAAGTTTCATTCTGTTTTCTTTCTAAATCATTCTCTAATTATACTCCTTTTGTAACCAATTCTACTTGGAGGCCTTTTTGGTAAAGGTCGAGTAAGAACTCTGGTTATTCAAATTGGCTTAAGTTTGTTTAGGGGATGGTCTCCTTCACATCTATAGTTCGGTTTGAAATTTCTGGATTTAGTTTCCTCTTTGGTATTAACCGTTTTACTATGTTTCACATACAACCAGTCGTTGAACCTATTACCAATCTTAATGAAAAGGTTCCGTCATTAACAAGGAAACCTGCACTCCGATTATATTCTGATTGGCCAACTTAAAAGATCAAAGGCATAAATATGTAAAAACATCATATTGCATGTTCCAAGGATACTGGATGAAGATAAACTTAGGACATTCTTCCGATTCAAATCATCCGAAGAGGCCGGCAAAAGTTTCAATGCGTGATTAGATTCCAATTTCCTAAAAGGAAAAGAAGACAATCGTTAGCCAGCAGAAAATAATAATTTGAATTGAACTTCAAGGTTACTTGACCAAATCCATACCTCGTATTATCTACATTTACATTCGGAGAAACAAAATTTTCCTGTACGCAAGAAAAGTTGTTGAAATTCCAAAGCATGATAAGGTTTTAATAAAATTAAATCATGATAGCACAAATAACTTACAGGCATATCAATATTCGACTTCCATGATTCTTCACACATAAAGTCACCAATACTGCAAAAAAATATGAGAAAATAATGAGAAATTTTTTTCTAATTTCCACGAACGCATAGATAAGTTAAAGATATACACTTGCCTCTGTTTCAGAATCATCTCTGTTTGTGAATTGGTCAAAAGTTTCATGCCATTGGGTTTCTTTAATGCTTGAGATCTCGTCAACAATTTGCTCCATCTTGACAATAAAAACCTTGCCCTGTTTGATATGTCTGATCTTCAAGTCAGAAAATGAGACTCAAAAAATTTCACAGGAGCAAGCGCAAACATATATTATGAAGCTCATGGATTTTAGAAAATCTCCATATGAAGCAAAATTATCATAAGATACCTAATTCATTAGCAACTAAAAAAATGGCAATATAGCTATAAATATTTCTAAACAAATTCCTCGGTTTCCTACAAAAAAATAAATAATGATAATAAATAGGTTACAAATGCAATAAACGAGAAAATGGTCACACAAAGTAATTTATGATGCATGTATGGAACAACTAAGAAAACAAGTATCTGCATTGAGGAGAAAAAAGTAATTAACATGCACATAAAGGTGCCAATTGGAGTGTTTTAATGTAAGATCCTTGGCCACTTGAGAGAATCACTTGTCCTCCCTCTTGGATTCTTCCATTTTCTAAATGAAAATTGTTCCTTTTCCACACACACACACACATAATACACAACCTCATGTTTATTTGTGTGAGGATTCAAATTCAACAAAATAGAGACAGTAACTGAAAGAAAATCTAAAGGTAGTTCATAAAATCTCTCCCAACAGAGAGCAGAGGTGAGATAGCACACAAAAGCAACACCACACGACAAAATCATACCTGAATTTCTGTAAAATCGCAAGTTATTAACACTTTGAAGTATCGCTGAAATATGTACAGGAAGAGCCTTATGTAAAGGCAAATGACAAAAAACCTGCAAAATAATAACATAAATCAATTCTTTATAATGCAAGGGTTCTTCATTTAAATACAAAACCCCTCAACCTCTCCATGGTCACTGGGGTAGAAGCTAGTAATAAATTTTATAAATAAGATCTACTAACTGACCAAGATGCATTGAAACATTGAAATGTGGAATTATTGGTTTTTTATAATCAAAAGGAATGAAAATACAAAATGGTTGTACAGAAACTTAAATGAAGGATCCGAGATGCAAGAACCATCAAAAGATATTTACAAGCAATAATTTTTTGTTTTTTAACGAGAAACAACTTTTCATTGATAGATGAAAAGATACAAAGTGTTCATGGAAACAACCCCAAAAGGAGAAAAGCAAAAACCAACTACCATCCAAACAAACAAAAAAGCCAAAACATCAGCCCCGAAAAGAAAAAAGACCAAAAACAAACCAAAAAACCAACAAACTAACCAGAGAGACAACGTTAGCTTAACAAAGCCTAACAAAAGAACAGCAAACCAAAACCTTAAAAAAAAAATGTGAAACATAGCTAAGAATAAAGCGTCGTCTTGGAAATAGAAGCCAAGCTTTGTCTTCGTGTTTGATAGGAACAAAAGTAATGCACACTTTACTTGGTAAAATAACATTGTTGAACACTTGAACAATGAGATAATTTAGAAATAAACAAGCATAAGATTATGTCCAATTCCAAAGTTAGTTCTACTTTTACATACATCACCAGCAACAAAATAGATAAATAAAGCTAAATGAAGATGACATGAGTCAGCCAAAAACTTCGCAATGTGGACCAAATGGATAAAATGTGTGCTGCATGTTAGACAAAATACTTCCCGAATAGGAGTCCACAAATGAGTTCCACATACCTCAAGGACTACATGAAGGAGACTTGTTTGTTCTTCAACAGCAGCTTGACTTAACCAAGTCGCTAAAATAATTGCACCACCTTTAGTCAAGAACCTAACACAATGCAAACGAATAGCAGGATGAAGAAGAGGAAGTGGATATCAAAAAAGAAGGAAAAATAAAAAAATAAAGACTCCAAGACCAAATGAGTAATTTGAATAATACCAACATAGTACTGAAGAATTTTGTATCTGCAAGATCCATTCCATCAATTTAACCTGACCAGAAAACGTTTCTTCTTTCTGCATCAAACTAAATATAGTTTGAACAAAATGCCTATCTATACCATCTATGCCAAATAGATCACTATCCTGTGTTGAACAGGATGGTCCATTATCAACATTACTGGGTTCAATAGTGTTTAAAGGAACTGGTGTATCAACATTTAAAGGAACTGGAGCTTCAGAGTTCAACGGAATTGGTGCATCAGAGTTAAAAGGAACCACTGCATCAGAGTTCAAGGGAACTGCATCAATTGGTATTCCGGGATCACTGTTAGTAGCAATCCCTCCAACTTCAAGTTCTTTGCAAGAATTAGATTGGATGGATTTTTCTCGTGACAAACGGACTATTTTCCTCACCCTTGAACGTTGGCTATTAAAAAAATCACGAACCTATCAACCAGCAAACACAGAATATAAACGACCAAAAAACAATCAATTGTAAAATCATATGCAATTAAAAAAAAATCCAAGAACACAGAAGTGACAGCATGAAATAGAGAAACAAGTAATCAAACTGCTAAAGGGTCTCAATAAAGCTTCTCCGCCAATGCCAAGGGTTGGCTTAGAGGTCAAAATCCTAAGATACAAAAATAAGATCTCCTGCACTTATAACCTCTTTGGAGGTCTAACAATTTTTTTTTTTTTTACACAAACCGCTTTCCATTAAGAGATATGGAAGTGCAAAAAGCAAGGAACCATACAAAAACACAGATACAATTAAAACCAAATTACAAGAACTAGAAGCACATCAATTGTTGATGATTAAAAATAAGGGACAGTCACTAATCAATTATATTGGACCAACAACAAAATATTAGATACTTACAATTTTCTTAGGAACCAAATATTATACAGTTGAACATTAATGGTTGTTTCAATATCAGGTGAACAAATAAATGTTGGCGTGTTTCTAATAAATGAGTTCCCCACTACGACGAACTCCTATGAGATTCTCTCCGACAGGAATTCCACTTAGCTTGGTGCTTCCTTCCCATTTTCGGTGTCATTAGCCCTTGAGCAGTAGCTCTTAATTATTCACCTTTTTCAAGTAAAATTTCTCTGGAAAATGCAGCCAAATGGAAATGTACCCCACTACAACAAACACCTATAAGATTCTCTCCTACAGAAATTCCATTTAGCTTGGTGCTTCCTTCCCATTTTCGATGTCAGCCCTTGAGCAATAGCTCCTGATTATTCACCTTTTTCAAGGAAAAATTCTCTGGAAAATGCTACCAAAGGGATTTCATGGGAGGTGTGGATGGTAGAAAACAACAGAATCTTCAAAAACATCTTTAGATATAATAGAGAAGGATGGTTACAGTTCATTTTGTAGCTCTCTCAAATTTCATTTCTTATCAATGCCAACTGAAGGAACTTCTGTAATCTCCTAGATTCTTTTGGGTTGATTTATTATCACCTACCATGATATTGTCGAGGTTGTTTCTTATCCAAAAAACGAAACCATATAAAACCAATCAAAACAAAAAATTGGGATTACAATTTGGCACTTGATTAAAAGACACGATTTAAAGAAAATACGAACAATCAAAAACATGAAGCATATAGAACCTGTGTTACTTTGACACCAAATAAGGCACTGATCTCTCGGGATTCTTTCTTACTAAGTGCATCTTTAATAGAAAAAACAGTTTGCATATATTTTACAGCCTTGGGGTTGAGCAGGTCTCGGGGTCTTTTTCCTGAAAATGGAAAACAGAACTGAGTAAATATGATAAAACTATAATGATAAAGAAACTTGATCGTGGTGATACTGTAATATTCGTATAATTAACAGATTTCTTATTATATGAGTGAGTAAAAAACATCTTTGCAAAGTAAACAATAATACAGAGCCAGGAGTTACCAATTGTAATTGACAGAGCACCAGCAGCCTGCATGGACAAAAAAAAAAGCATGCAAGTCAATTATCAAATAAATTTATCATGCACCTAAAAAATGACCATGAAACCTTTAAGTTGTAAAGAATCATTACCATGTCAAAATGCATTGTGGGAGAACTAAAAGATAAAATGAAAAGACTAGGCAAGGTATATCTTGAGCTAATAAATGGCAAATATCTAGAAAGGAACCTTTACTTGACCAATGCAGGACCTATTTATATTAATTATAAGCCAATAAAAGTACATGAAACTCATAATGTCATCCTAAACTCAAAATGACAAAAAAGTGGCAGTGGAAATTAAAAACCCTGGATCATAGAATATAGGTAGGCTTTGAAAAAAAAAAATCATTAACAAAATATAAGGAGATTTGTGACAACATGTCCAATATCAATAAAATAGAAATACAATACTGAAGTTTTCACAGTTGAAGAGTAATGAATGCGATGTATTTTCAGTGAAGTCTTTAATTCAACTTTATATATCAGCATCAAGAGGCATGCAGATAATATTAACCAAGTAAGTCAGAGGTGCATTCAGTTTTGGAACTCTCACCAACAGCAAATATTACATTACAAGACACCTTCCAATCTAGGTCAATCAAAAAAGGGTATGATTTTCACAAAAAAAATATATTTGTATAGAGCACTCCAACAAGAAGCAGTAACATGTACAATATCACAAAGACTGTCAAGAATTCCCATTGTCTTGAAAGACTCTTTGCTAACCAAAGAGGCCATAAAAAAGCTTTAATGTCACACTTCCAGAGGAAGCTTAGCTTTTCCTTTCAACCACCAACGGGAGAGCGCTTCAAAAATCCCATCTTCTATAGAAAATACATAATACTCATACAGATTCAATAAACAGTGTCCGCGCACTCAACTATTTGGCTAATATTCTGAAAACTTGCCAACAAACCCTCCTATCCATCATGTCACCATAAATTGTTAACATCACCTGATAACTGATGAGTTAGAAACCAATAACAAATCAAACATAGACATACATGCCATTCTTTGGCTAGGACGAACGTGACCAATTACGTATATCCCAGAAAGTACGAGCGTATAGGAGTCAATAAACCTTAAGTTGAAAACACAACACATACAACTAAACTTCTCAATCTACTCCAAAATTCACTTTTCTATTTCGTTGCACGAAAAAACTACGATTGCACAGACAGAAATATACAAGATTTCATAATCATTATACCCGCCAAAAAAAAAAAAAAACCATTCGGCGTCCCTGTAAACTGCATCAAATTTCAAGGTTAAATTGAATATAAACAAAAAACGCACCATCTCTTGAGAGAGCGGGTTAACGCCAGTGAGTCTGCACTGGGTGACGACAATTCTCTGCAACTGATCGACCTGGGAGCGGAAAAGATCCTTTTGCGAGTCCAAGAAGTTCTGGAACGACTCGACGGAAGTCCCAATCTCCAAATTGGAGAAATCATCCTTCAAAACCTCCATTTTCGACCTGAAAGCCCGGATTTCTGAATCGAAATTCAACAAAAATAAGCATTAAAAACCACGGAGCGAAGGATAAACTGGCGCTTGAGGCAATAAATTAGGGCCTGGAACGAAACGGGGTAAGAAAGCGTTTGGTAATAAGAGAGCTGATCGAGAGAGAGAGAGAGGATTGCGAATGCTTACTATACTAACGGAGCAGCAAATTACAGCCCAAAATCTCACACGTGGGAACTACCCACACGCTTGTACATATTTTCGCGCCCTTTTTTTTGTCCAGATCCAATTTCATGAGTCAAAATCTTTTAAAAACCTAGGTTTTAGTTTTAGGTTAAATTCAATATCTTGACATGGGAAGTTCTAAAGTTAGTCTAGAGCTTAACGCTATTGTTTCTTGTTTTTATTTTTTTTATTTTCAATAAAAAAATTGAATTACATGTTCCAACGTACATGAATTTAAATATGATAAAATAATCTTTTTTACTTATGTTTTTGAGCAAATTGGAAATGAAAACAAAATAAGAAATTTGTTTTAGTTGTTCCTAAAATTTATATACAATTTTGGGAATTGTCCAAAAAAACGCTAGATTTTTTAAGAAAATTAGAAACGAGAAACAATAAATGGAAACGTTATCAAACAAATCCCTATTTTCTTGTTTCTCACTTTGAATTTTATTTATAAGTTTAAGTATTGGACAGTTATGTTTCTTGTTTCTCACTTTTTGTTTCTCGTTCCCGTTTCCAATTTATTCTGTTGGAGGTGATTTTCAGCGTCACGCATGGCATATCTCGATTGGATTAACAAACACACATGGCCCATCCCAAGGCCAAGTGTACTTGCCTTGGTATTAAACTTTGATAGAGAGCCGACGTCATCAAAGACTGAGCCTATCAAGATTCTTTTGGTACTGTTCCCATTCTATGGTCACACCAACCTGGTTCTACTCGACTCGGTCTTATATTCTGACATACTCCGTGATAGCACGTCGTGATTCACGACAACTTTAAAGAGTCGTTGAGGCCTTGTCGGGAACCTTGTCGAAGTCCCCACTTATATATAGATATCATTTACTCTAATTTCAAGTACGCGTATACAGTAATTTTCTCTAAATACTACTCGGATTCTTCTTGACTTAGGCGTCAGAGTATTTTCTGTCTTGTAGGTCCCCCTCTAGCTCGTCTCCAGGTCATCTTCCAGTCTGAGCCAGTGTTCGCGGGTTTGGTCATTTATGTGATCAAACATATTCTAACATAAATAAAATAAATAAACAAGAGCAATAAACGAAAACGTTAACAAGAATGACGATGGTTCGCGCTTTTGTATATATGTTATGACGGAGTGTAAAATGTAAGCATACGAGCTCTTTATGTAGAGGGCTATGGTGGCACGTAATCTATACGTGCTCTTTATGTAGAGTATTGGGCCAAGCTTAAAAATCACTCAAGGATGGGCCGAACTACTAATTAAATGTATAAATTAAATTAAGGTTAAAAAACACATTTGGTCCCTGCACTTTCACTAAAGTGACAATTTAGTTCCTGTTATTTAAAATTTGTAACAATTTAGTCCTTATTGTAAACTTTTTAATTAAAATTAAGTGTCAAATTTTATCATATAACAATTTAATATTTCTAATTGATAATCATATTTGGTCCCTCTTTAGTTTATCAATCCATACATATAAGAATAACAAAACGAATTTCACGATAAGAACTAAATCGTTACCAACTTTAAATTATAAGGACTAAATTGTTACATATTAAAGTTAATGGACTAAATTGTTATCAATTTGAAAGTACATGGACTAAATCATTACAAACTAAAGTTTAGAGACTAGATTATTATTTTAGTGAAGTAGAGGGACTAAAAATATTTTTTAACCTTTATCGTGGTAAATTGTTTTATTTTCCAAATAAATAAATCCCCAATTCCTACTTTTAGTGAAAAGTAAATTGTAAGAGATCCAAGACTTAGTCATCTAGTTCTAAGTATTTTAAACATTTTTAATCTAATTCAAAAGGCTTCCTAAATGATTAACGTTTACCTAATAACAATTTCTTTTGGTAAAGAACAATCTAGCATAAACATCTTACATAAATATGCATTCAACAATTAAAAGGCAAGTTTACTACAATCAAATGCAATCTCAAACATACCTTTGATCTATCAAATAATAATTAAAATAATAAAATAACAATAATAATAATATAAAAAATAGAGCTGCAATTAGAGTAAACACCGAGACAAAAGCAATACTTGAAGAAAAGATAATAAAAACAAATCATCGTACATCTCAATTACATCTAATAATGACAATAAGATTACATTCAAATCAAAAGATGAATTCCCTCCACCTTCTGGTACAAAATACTTCGTTCTCCTATCCTCAATCACCATCCTCAAGATAAATATTGTAAATCTATAAACAAAAAAAAGGACCTAATTTAACATTTATTTACATAGTATCAATTATTTGCACATTATTATGTCCACAAGTATGCAAAAGTATCATGAAACAAATGGTACCAACAAAAATTCTACAACACAAAGCTAATCTTCATATGAACTGTGGTGTTTGATGTGCAGAGTGGACAAGCATGCAACAAAGGATCAAATTAGGAAAAATGTGAAGCACAGACTATCTTGTACCACCAAATTATTGCAGTCAAGAGCTGGTGTTGTGCTCCAAATTGAATGTATGCAGCTGAGTGAACTTACTGTTTGGAAATACTATAGCCAACCAGCTCGGACAGCTGCAGTAGAATCTCGACTCTAGGCCAACTGTATTACCATCTACAGTTCATCATTATCAGTCTAAGTAATTTTTTTTATATTCGTGAGTATCCGGGCCAGTTTACGCGCACCTTGACTAATTTAACGGAGCAACCGCCTGACCCTACAACATTTGGTGTCGAAAAACACAAAGGAATTACTAATTCCAACGTAGGTGGTCATCATGGCCATCATGGGATTTTAGGCTCGAGGTATCCGAAGAAAGATTATTTATTGCCTTTTCAAGAAAATAGACTGGGTAGTCTTCAATTTCTTCACGATGTTTAGTTGGGTCTAGACATATGCTATAAAAGAAAAGGTGGCTAGAAATACACAAACATGAGTTATTTGGGTGAATGCTAAAAGAGTACTATGAAAAATAGGTCAAAAGTTGCTTAACAAGCCATAATGGTATCTGACGAGGGAAGCTATACTAACAAAAAGTAATTGTTGGAACTAGTTGCGACAATAATGTGGTTTATTTGCCATAAATCGGTAGCTTAAAAACAGTACACATTTATACGAATAGTTTGAGTGAATGTTAGAATTTGTCCTCGAAAAAGGGATCAATGATCTTTACGGGCCTAATGGTTCCCTTCAAAAAAAGTTAAACTAACCGATGCTTAACCAATAACTAAAGGATGTTAGTTTCGAAAAGAAAAAGACAAACAAAGAAGTAACTATTAGTACTTATTTCAGACCAACCAAAATATCGAACCAACAACCATTCTTTTTTAGGTTACTAGAACATAAAGGCAACAAGTATTTTAAGAAAACCATCCTTTCAAAGCAACAAACATTTTTGGACAACCATCATTTCGAGATCACAAAAAATTTGAGGCAACTATTGGTCATATATTTCAAAGAATAGCCAACATATCGTGACAATCATTGGTGCTTTATCTCGAGGCAACCAATAGTTAAGGACAACCGACAGATCAAGTCAACCATTGGTCCTGAATTTAGAGGAACCATTATTTAGGAACAATCGACATATTAAGGCAACCATTAACCCTATATTTTAAGGCAACCAATACTAACGGGCGAGCAACATATTAAGACAACTATTTTGAGACGACCATCATTTCGAATCAACAAACATTTTTAGACAACCATCATTTCGAGATCACAAGAATTTTGAGGAAACTATTGATCATATATTTCAAGTTAACCAATATTTAGGGACAAGGGGCAGAATCGAATGATTGCAATCTCGACAATGAGACAAAGCCAACGTATGATGACAATCATTGATGTTTTATCTCAAGGCAACCGTGTTTAAACAACCGACAAATCAAGGCAGCCATTAGTCCTACAAGAAGAACCAATATTTAGGGACAATCGACATATTAAGGCAACCAATATTAAAAGGCATGCAACACATTAAGGCAACTATTTTGAGACAACCATCATTTCGAAGCAACAAATATTTTTGGACAACCATCATTACGAGATCACAAAAATTTTAAGGTAACTATTCAAGGTCAACCAATATTTAGGGACAAGAAGGGACAAAATCGAATGATTGTGATCTTGACAATGAGACAAAGCCAACATATCGTGACAACCATTGGTGCTCTATCTTGAGATAGTCAATTTTTAGGGACAGCCGACAAATCAAGGCAACCATTGGTCCTACATTTAGAGGAACCAATATTCAGGGACAATTGACACATTAAGGCAACCAATACTAAGAGACAAGCAACATATTAAAGAAACTATTGTGAGACAACCATCATTTCGAGATCACAAAAATTTTGAGGCAACTATTGGTCATATATTTCAAGGTCAACCAATATTTAGGAACAAGTAGGGGTGGAATCGAATGATTGTAATCTCGACAATGAGACAAAACCAACATATTGTGACAATCATTGGTGTTTTATCTCAAGGCAACCGATATTTAGGGACAACTGACAAATCAAGGCACCCATTGGTCCTACATTTAGAGGAACCAATATTTAGGGACAATCGACGTATCAAGGCAACCAATGCTAAGGGACAAGCAACATATTAAAGCAACTATTTTGAGGAAGGTACATCGCAGATGGTAGATGTCTACCAACATGTTTTCAAGGTGTAGAAGTATGCTACCCTTTCTAAAAATTTTATGAATAGTTCCTTGCTAATTACCCGACGATTTTAGGCTCGAGGTATTCAAAGAGGGATTATTTATTGCCTTCTCAAGAAAATGGGCTGGATACTCTTGAATCTTCTTCATACTGTTTAGTTAGGTCTACACATGTGGCTAGAAATGCACATACATGAGTTATTTGGGCGAATGCTAAAATTGTACCGTGAGAAATATGTCAAAACTTGCTTCAGCCCAATGGGTATCTTACGGGGGAAACTATACTAACAAAATTAAGGATGCAAGTATAGCACAATAAAAGCTAACAAGAAAGTAATAGTTGGAACTAGTTGTCATAATATTGCAGCTTATTTGCCATGAATTGGTTGCTTAAAAAGAGCACATTTATACGAATAGTTTGAGTGAATGTTAGAAATGTACTTGAAAAAGGGATCAAGGATCTTTACTGAGACCTAATGGGTTCCCTTCGAGAGTATATTAGTTTCGAAAAAAAGGACTAACAAAGAAGTAACTATTATTACCTATTTCAAGCCAACCAAAATATCAAACAATCCATTCTTTTTCAGATAGCTATCACATCAAGGCAACAAATATTTTGAGACAATCATCATTTCGAGCAACAAACATTTTTGGACGACCATCATTTCGAAATCAAAAAAATTTTGAGGCAACTATTAGTCATATATTTCAAGGTCAACCAATATTTAGGGACAACCAACAAATTGTGACAATCATTGGTGCTTTATTTTGAGGCAACCAATAGTTAGGAACAATTGACAAATCAAGGCAACCGTTGATCATTTAGAAGAACCAATATTTAGGGACAATCGACATATTGAGACAACTACTAATCCTATATTTTAAGGCAATTAATACCATGGGACGACTGACAAGCAACATATTAAGGCAACCATTGATCATTTATTTCGAAGAAATCAAAATTTTAAGACAACCATATTTTTTTGGAGCAATTGTCACTTTAAGGCAACCGATTGGGACAATCGTCATATCGAGGAAACAATTATCTTGTGACAACCATCATTTTTAGGCAACATGTTAAAACTAACTTCTATTATTTATATTCAAAGAGGAGTTACAATATGGTCAAACCCGCCAACTTTCTTAAACTTACTTACTTGATTGTTTGTGTTGGGTTGGGCTCATTTATCTTCTATAAACTAGACCATCTCCATCATCTTCTTAAACATATTAGATCTTTTTAAACATGTTGAATCACCATAGAATTCAAAAGTTCCAGCTGATGTGTTAAGGTAAATATGAAAGGAAAACTAAATACCTTTTATTTTTTATCAATGAGAGAGGGAGAAAATTCATTTTTAGTTTTCCTTCCCTACAAAATGCATTTTTATCAATGAGAGGGGGAGAAAGAGTGGGTAAAGAGAGAAAAAGAAACCTTGATGTCCTTTCCTAGCCTGACCTTCGCTTCTACAGCTATATTTTAAGTGAGTCTAGATTGGTTCTTTTATTTATATAAAAAATAATCATACAACAATTAAACTTAAAGAAATCATAGAGAGATTGGGAAAGAGTACCTGAAGTCGAGAGAAAGATGGAAGGATACAAGTTCCTTTCTTTTAAACTTCTGTACGTATTTGCTATATGTATTTTGTTTTCAATCACTACAAAATGTATTTTTATCAGTGGGAGAGGGAAAACGAGTGAGTCTAGAGAGAGAAACAACCCTAGATGTCTTTTCCTAGCTTACTCTCCCTTCCATATATAGCTATTTTGGGTAAGTCTGAATTGGTTTCTTTATTTACGTAAAAAATAATCATACAACAATTGAAATTTATTTTTTTGAACAATCATTCAACAATTAAACAAGAAGAAAAGAGAGGGATTTAGAAAAATTAGTACCCAGTTGAGAGAGAGAGATGGAAGTGATTATAACTTCCCTTTTCTTTTCAACTTTTGTATGTATTTTCCATATGTATTCTGTTTTCCATCCCTACAAAACACATTTTTATTTGCGAGAGAGTGAGAAAGAGTGAGTAAAGAGAGAAACAAACCTCGATGTCCTTTCCTAGCATGACCCTCTCTTCCATAGCTATATTTTGGGTGAGTCTGAATTGGTTCTTTTATTTACCAAAAAAATAATCATACAACAATTAAACTTGAAGAAAAGAGATTGCGAAAGAGTACCTGAAGTAGATAGAGGAAGAAGATCGAGAGAGAGAAATGGAAGGAATACAACTTCCTTTCTTTTCAACTTCTGCACGTATTAGATATATGTATTCTAATTTCCATCCCTACAAAATTAATTTTTATCACGAGGGAGAAAGAGTGACTAGAGGGAGAGAAACAACTCTTGATGTCCTTTCCTAGTTTGACCTTTTTCCCATAGCTATATTTTGGATGAGTCTTGATTGGTCCTTTTATTTACATAAAAATAAAATCATACAAGAATTATACTTGAAAAAAAGAAGAGAGATTGAGAAAGAGTACCTAAAAGTCGAGTGAAAAAGAAGATCGAGAGAGAGAGAGATGGAAGGATTACAACTTCCTTTCTCTTCAACTTCTGTACGTATTTGTTATATTTATTTTGTTTCCATCCCTACCAAAATGCATTTTTATCGGTGAGAGAGGGAGAAAGAGTGAGTAGAGAGAAAAAAAAAACTTTGATGTCCTTTCCTAGCCTGACCTTTCCTTCCATAACTAACTATATTATGGGTGAGTCTCGATTGGTTCTTTTATTGACCTAAAATATAATCATACAACAATTAAACATGAAGAAAATAGAGAGGGATTGAGAAATAGTACCTGAAGTCAAGAGAGGAAGAAGACCGAGAGATAGATATGGAAGGATTACAACTTTCTTTCTTTTCAACTTTTATACGTATTTGCTATACGTATTGCATTTTCCATGCCTACGAAATGCTTTTTTATTAGTGAGAGAGGGAGAAAGTGCAAGTAGAGAGAGAGAACAAACCTTGATGTTCTTTCTTAGCCTGAACCTCCCTTCCATAGCTATATTTTGGGTGAGTCTGGACTTTGGAGTTGGTTCTTTTATTTACCTAAAAACAATCATGCAACAATTAAACATAAAGAAAAGAGATAGGGTTTGAGAAAGAGTACCTAAAGTTGAGAGAAGAAGAAGATTGAGAAAGAGAGAGATGAAAGGATTACAACTTCCTTTCTTTTCAACTTCTGTGCATATTTACTACATCTATTCTGTTTTTCATTCTTACAAAATGTATTTTTATCAATGAGAGAGGGAGAAAGGGTGAGTAGAGAGAGAGAAACAAACCTTGATGTCCTTTCCTAGCCTGACCCTCCCTTCTACAATTATATTTTGGATGTCTGGATTGGTTCTTTTATTTACCTAAAAAATAATCATACAACAATAAAACTTAAGAAAAAGAGAGAGGGATTGAGAAAGAGTACCTGAAGTCGAGAGAGAGATGGAAGGATTACAACTTCCTTTCTCTTCAACTTCTGTACGTATTTGCTTTATGTATTCTATTTTAGTATTTTTCATCCCTGCAAAATGCATTTTTATCGGTGAGTGAGGGAGAAAGTGCAAGTAGAGAGAGAGAAACAAACCCTTATGTTCTTTCCTAGTCTGACCCTCTCTTCCATAGCTATATTTTGGGTGAGTTTGGATTTGGTTCTTTTATTTACCTAAAAAGTAATCATACATTAATTAAACTTCAAAAAATGAGAGGGATCGAGAAAGAGTACGTGAAGTTGAAGGGGGAAGAAGATTGAGAGAGGTAGATGGAAGATAACAACTTTTCTTTTCACATTCACCTTCACCACCTGTAAATAAACCCTTATGTACGTATTGGCTATGGTGAGTAAAGAGAGAGAAACAAACATTGATGTCCTTTTCCAACACGACCCTCCCTTCCACTGCTAGATTTCGGGTGAGTCTGGAGCCTTGAAAAAATCATATGATAATGACTCTTTCTAGCATCATCCATCAATGTTTGACCCAAAGACCTGAAATAGAATTACATGCATGTTTCTTCCCAAAAAAAAAAAAGGAAAAAAGAAAAATGGAGCAAAACTAATGCAATGCACACACCCTTGGCTAGTAAGCATGTACCTGGAAGTTATTGATAACTAATTATAGCTTGCTTCTTACCTGTACATGATGCAAACCTAAAGGTACAACAATTAAAAAGTAAGCTAAAGTTATCTTACCTATCTCCAAATAGTAGAGACTTGAATTATCTTACCTATCTCCAAATAGTAGAGACTTGAATTATATCGTTCTTATTGAGCTGATAGTCAATTCAACAACATATGCACTCAAAAGCTATAACCTAGAGTTTTCAACAACCAGTACCTAGGGAATCAAAAGTAAAAAATCCATGTTAGTCTATTTTTGCTCATTTTGTTCACTGGATTTTCTTTTGGTATTCTCTGTATATATTCTTTCATTTAACTTAATGAGAGCAAAGCAACATGCTTACCATCGGTTTCCTACTCCACCTCGTCTCCATACAATATTTTTCAATCCAGCTGAGGGGTTATTATAGAGCTAAGAATATAACAGGATAATGCTGATAGAACTTTGTAACTAACAGATGATTATGTATAGCAAGAAATTAACTTAAAACATAGCAGGGTACCTAAATTATCATCTAGAGCATCATTCATTGACTGTTAGAGAAGCATAGAAATGTAAGTTGACACAATATTAAAGGAAGAACAAAGATAGAGCTGAATATAGAATCTCTTTCTCAAATATGTATTTCAATCGTCAAACCGATGTGCATTTTTTATTTCGTAGATGCTATAAATGTATAATGTATTCATTCGTACCTTGTGAATTTCTAAAATATCGCCCCAGCTTTGCGAAGCTCAACCATGTACAATGAAGGAGCAACCTGAAAAATCTGGAGACTTTTTAAGACAACTAATATCGTTTCCCATTATTTGTTTACTTGACAGGCATTAAGAAGACGATGGGGCAAAGTGAATAGGAGCACCTCTGTTGCCACTGATAAATGACCTTTACGTTCAATTTTTCCCCCTTGGAGCTTCATCTATGATAGACAAGATATACATTTTAAGTCAAAAAACAGTTTGGTAAGCTACGGATGATTCTATAAAGATTCAAATTATTTGGCCTTAAATAGTTGATACCTTCATCTAATAGCTAAACTCTACCTTCCATAAATTTTAATAAAAAAATACAAACCTTGAAGTTGTTATCTTCAACATCAAAACCCAAAGGAACTGCAGTCTTCCCAATCTTGGAAATGAGAAACGATCTCATCTGCACCGGCTAACGTTAACCCATGGCCGGCCCTTTGGAATTGATCCCTCTTTTAAAAACCAGCCATCATTCTTTAAGGGAGGAGACAGTAATTACTGGCAATTACTTCTCTCCAAAGCACTTCCTTTTCCATCAAGACTCTCCTGCCCCACTTAGTTAATATGGCAGTGTTTTTAACCTCCAAGCTCCCCACCCCTTCTCCTCCTAAGCTGGTCGGGAACATAGCCACTTCCTAGCAGATCGGGTTCGGCCTCCTCCTTCCTCTCCCCCTCTCCAGAAAAAAACCTCTAATAATCCTCTCCAACCATTTAATGATTTGAACAAGGGATTTAGAAAGTGACAAATAATAGAGCGGGATGCTAGTGAGTACTGAATTTATTAATGTCAATCTCCCCCCTCTAGAGAGAAGAGTGGATTTCCAGCTAGCCAATTTCCTAGCAACCTTCTCCACCACAAACTCCCAAAAAACAACAGAGTTTTAGGTCTTCCACCCAGGCCAGAGGCATGCCAACATAAGATAAAGGCCCAGGGCCAACCTTGCAGCCTCACCTCAAAGCCATGGACTAACCTTCCTCTTCTTACACATTCAGCCCAGTCACCACGGATTTTTCCAAATTAATTTTTCATGCCTGAAATTACCTTAAAACAAGATATCATCTCCTTAAGGTTGGCAAGCATCTCCCCCTTATCTGCTGAAAGATCAACATGTCGTTTGCAAACTGGAGATGGTTAACATGTGTTTCATGGGCCACCACTTTAAAGCCTCTCAAACACCCTTCACTGATTCCTTTTTCCAACATTCTACTTAACACGTTAGCAACTAGAACAAACAGAAACGGTGCCAGGGGACCTCCTTGCCAAGGCCTCTTTAAACTTTCCTCTTGGCCTTCCATTAGTTAGTATTGAAAATGAAGTATCTGATACACAAACATTTATCCATGAAATCTATTTTTTCCCGAAACCTTTTTTATAAAGTACTTTGAGGAAATCCCAATCAATCATATCGCATGCCTTCTCAAAGTCTAACTTGAGGACCCACCCTCTTTTCTTCTTTATCAAGTACTCATCTACTAAGTAATTAGCAATAAAAATGGGGTCCAGGATCTGCCTTCCTTGGACAAAAGTCGCTTGGTACTGATTGATTGTCATGTCATCACCTCTTTTAATCTTCTAGCCAGAACTTCAGCCACCAACTTGTAAATGCTTGTGACTAAGCTAATAGGTCTGAGCAACCTTGAAGCTTTCTTTGGGATAAGGCACAAGTAAGATTCATTCACACATGAGTTTAGGATGCCTCTTTGAAAAAGTCTTAGAACACCTCAAATATGTCTTCTTTGATGATGTTCCTTTCTTTGTAAAAAATTCTCCTATGAACCCATCCGGGCCAAGATACTTATTTGCTCCCAACTCGTTCACTACCTCTTTTATCTCTTCTTCAGCAAAGGGAGTTTCCAAATTTTGGCTGAAATCTTGTGAGATAGGCTTCCAATCAAGATTTGAGGGCGAAATCTTCTACCCTTGTTCTTGGAATACAACTTATTAAAAAAAAGATATGAATTCCTCAATAATCTCATCTTCCTCTGGAAGACTCCCTCCATCCACATTTTGGATTTCAGTGATCAAATTCTTTTTAGCTCTGGCACTAACATGCCCGTGAAAGAATTTAAAGTTGGAATCTCCTTCGACTAACACACTATCGAGCCAACCATTTGACATATTGACCAAACCATTGCTCGTTTATTTTGAGGCAACCAATATGTAAAGACAACCGACATATCGAGCCAACCATTGCTCTTATATTTCGAGGCAACCAATACTTAGGGTCAATATTGATTGCCTCAGAATAAATGACCAGTTTAGGGACAATTCCAAAATTCCCGCCTGCACCTTCCACTTCCCTCCTTTGACTATGGCCGAGAAGCGAAGCGATCCTGATTCTGAGTTCTTTGTCGACCATAATGACTGTGGCGACAACGACATTAAGCTCAGAAAAAACACGAAAAATCATAGCAACAGCTGTTACAACGGTAGAGATGACGCTGCGAACGGCCTCGAAGGTTGGAGCTCCACCTTTACTTCTCAACAATGGCCTTATTGAGAGACAACAGATTCTTATATAATCATAGCTTCACAAAATTTTGGAATGTTTTGTAGTCCAAGTTTATTGCAACCAAGCTTTCAGAATCATAGTACAAGTAGTCTAGACATGGACGCAAAGGCTTCTTTATTATCTTATTTTGGTGGAGCTGGTCAAAATGAGGATTTGGATAAGATCTCAAGAACGCAATCATTAAGGTTAGAGAGAGCCTCCTTTTCTAAGCAACTGACCGGTGAATTACCTATTGGTCACGGTTGTAGCTTCACACAAACTATCTTCAATGGAATTAATGTATTCGCTGGAGTAGGACTTCTCTCTACACCATATACTATAAAAGAAGCTGGGTGGGCTAATTTGGGAGTACTAGTTTTTCTGCCATTGTGTGTTGTTATACAGTCTCACTTATGAGGTACTGCTTCAAGAAGAGAGAGGGAGTCGAACATACCCAGAATTAGGAGAAGCTGCCAATGGAAAATTTGGACATCTTTTTGTCTCCATCATTTTATATGTGGAATTATATAGTTATTGTGATGAATTTATCTAGGTAGGAGACGGTCTAACCAAATTATTCTTGAAGCATCGTTGAGTGAGGGTGGTATCCAGTTAGACTCTATGCATCCTTTTGGAATTTTAACTACATCGATCATTTTGCCCACTATTTGCCTAATAGATCTCCGTGTGATCTCATAGTTGTCAGCTGGTGAGGTCCTTGCAACCATCGTAATAGTCCTGTGCATAATTTTTCTCGGTGCATAATTTTTCTTGGTACAATTGGAAGCATAGGGTTTCATCAAACTGGTCAAGTTGTAAATTGGAAGGGTATTCCTTTTTTCTACACAGTTGCTAGGTTCTCTTGAAATTCCACAGCATTCAAATAGAATAAGGCAATTAGAAGACTGAAATTGATCTTGTTGTAGTTTTACTTAACTACACTATACCACACAAATGAACATGCGGAATGTAGAGTTGAAGAATGCACCATGTTTAGCCTTGTTCTAAGAGTGTGCTTGTGCATGCTCTGGTTTATGCTTGTACTTGTAATCGTGATGAAACAAAGGCCCTCTCAATCTGTGGTAGGAGCTCGAAATTTTCCTGCAACGACTAGCCAATGTTGTGGGCCTCTTCCAGTGGCATGTCTCCAGGCAGAACAATGTCGACCTTGACAAAGTAGTGAGACCCAAATGTCGGACTGTGTCAAGCATCTGATGGCCTTGTGATGGTTCCAACATAGGTAGGTCAGTTTCAGCAGATACTCGGGGGCAACTGATCTTCCGACAAGGGAGTTCACGTTTTCCAATACTATCATCGACAAGGTGATAATGGTGTATAAAGCTAAATAATTGCTCCAAGAGGGTCCATCCAGCCATTTATATAATTGGCGAGGAGTGCGGGGACAAGGCTGATAGCATTGGTGACCACATCAAAGAAATGATCTTGTGCATACACTTTGATTATCTCATTGGTGAAAGCGCAGGCAGCAATAAACAACAAAGAGTAATTGCAATGAACAACAAAGAGTAATTTCAAATTTTCACCAAAGTAACTGAAAGCAAAATACCACAACCCGTCACTCTTGCTCCTTGGTTAACTTGAAATCAATATCATCTGATAATAGAGTTTGAGTTGACTCCAAAATTATCTGTAATCCAAGAGTTGCCATGACAGAGGCAAAAACAAGAATACCCAAAAGCTGCATACGTTCTTTCCCAACGGGATACTAGTACGAGTTTGGTGTTTGCATGGAAAATGCAGAAACCATAGGATGAAAGCAGATAAAAGAACAAGAAGGGAATCCAGTGTGAATGAAATTATAGCTAGGGATCCACTTCTGACAGATGCATAGCTTTAGCTGCAAACAAAACCATATTGACAACATTTGATATTCTGATGCAAATGTTTCACTCTTAGCTAACTTTTCACGTTCTTCCTTCAACATTCCAGCATCTCATTAAATCTCTCAAGCATTTCTACCCGCTGTTGATAGTACTCAGCCACGTAATCTTCAGGACTCAAAACACTAGCCAAGGCAATCATGGAGACCACAAGGTAGTAGTTTCCTCTCCTTGTGCTCTGGAGACAACTGAAAGCTATCGAAGTTCAAGCACCAATCGCCAGCGCTAGACTGCAGCAAGACGTGCTCTCCTCGTCCTTCTCGAGGGAAACAACAGGCTGCACCATTTATGCAATTGGTGCGTACAAATTTTGCAAGGGACCAATAATATGCTTCATTTTGTGTGTTCTTTTCTTTTCT